CATAAGTGCAATTATATTAAATTTTGGCAATAGGATTTTGTAGAAACGGGAACAGCAACCACTTTGTATTGTTATTTGATTGATTTTTATATTAAATAAAATCATTTTAGAATTTTTTTCTAACCTAATTTTCTCTATTAAACAGATTTTGAAGTGTTAATTATAATTAGCATATGTCGCTAAGTCATATTGGTATTTGAGTACAATTACATTCTTCATAAAGATGTGTAGTAAGATATTACATTTGTATGCTATGTCATATATTTGCTATATGAATTTTTCCAGCATCAATAAATAAATTACCAAACTAACGTATCGATGACTTTGTTATTTTGTATGCTGGAAACATCACAGATGAATACATCGTCGTCAAAATCGACAACAAATATGATATCTAATACATCAATAAATCAACAAAATAAATCAGGTCGTCATTTAATTTGATTTTTTTTCCATTTTGTTAATAATTAGTGTATATTTTTATCGTATATTAAATTTGTTTTCATATTTGGAGTATTGACATCACCAAACAAAAATTGAGATTATATTTATAAGACAACTAAATACATTTGAAGAAGAGTATATTATAAAAGAATAAATATTTGAAAAAAAGTTCCTTTGAGATCTACAATAAATAAGAACGATCATGTGAAAGTTTTAAAACTAATTTTGTGTGACGAGATGGTATTATATAATATTAGAATTAATCAATACTTTTTTTTAAATAAAAATTTCACTATTTAACTAATAAGTTATTTTGTTATAATATTTTCAAAAAAGTAATTGTCAAGCGACATTGTTTAAGGACACAATCGAAGCTTGAGAAAGGAAAAAGATATCGATTTTGAAATGAAAAGTAAGAACAATCAATCCTTATTTAACATTTTCACATTGTATACATTATTTCATAAAAACTTTGGTTCTTTAACAATATCAATTATCGCAACTACTTTAAAAAATAGTATTAATACTTTAAATCATTCATTTGATATATAAGACGATATTGCTTTCTAGTACTTGAATACCTTTGTGATTACTTTGTGATAAAAGTTAACACTGTTAGGGTGACAATTTGTTTAGAATTTGTTTAATTAAATCATATACCATTGTGATTACTTTGTGATATAATTTATCACTGTTAGGATCTACTTCCATTTGTGGTTATTGTTTGAAGATTTCCAATTATGTAGATGCAACCATTACGTAGAGAAACGGATAGGGTTGGCAATGGTTCGGTTCGGGGTGGGTTCGGCCAAAAACCATCACTGAACCCTCAATTTTTTGGCCATATCATAATCGCACCATAACCACGTAGGCTGTTTCGGTTTGATTCGTATTTCGGTTCAAACAGTTAATAACCATGAATAGGGACAGATTCAGGACTTTGACCTAGTTAGGGCAGTCGTTGATCATTAACCGTCAACAGTTAATGACCGTATAACAATGTCATTTATTAATATCAAATTAAATAATATTAAAAATTATTCTATCTATATGTAAATACACTAAAACGTAAAAATCGTATATTTATATCAAATTACAGTACAATACAATCCAAAATAATATAAAATAAATGATACATGAGACTTATTTGTATTATCAATACTTAATAAATTGTTTGCTTGACTGGAAGTAGTCACGAGATTAGATACACCTAGGGGTGGCAAATGAGCGGAGCGAGCGAGCCAAAAACGGAGCTCGTAGGCAACTCGGGCTCATAAAAACACGAGCTCGAGCGCGAGCCGAGCGGGCTGATTCGGTGGGCGAGCCAAGCCCACTCGGCTCGCACAAAAAACGAGCTGCTCGCGGTCGTTTGGAACGAACCGCGAGCCCAAGCTCGTGGGCTCGTCTTAAATGTGACCCAAACAAATGTGACCGTTTCGGTCACTTTATCAAACGGGCGCTTCAGTCCCCCATTAATTTTTTTTTTCTTTTTTTTGACTGTTAACGGTCACTGAATTTTTTCATTGACCGTTTTGGTTCTTATATTTTGTTTTGTTTTTTCTTTTCTTCTTCTATAAATAGTGGCATTTAGCCACAAATTTTTTTACAATTCTCTTAACTCTCAATCATCTTTCTTTCAACCTTCTTGTATTGTGTTGATAATTTACAATTTTTATATACAATTTATACAATATCCAATTCTCATTTCTCAGTTCTCACTATATTTATTGAAATATATCCAATTTTCATTTCTCACTACATTTATACGATTATTCTTCTACTAGTTATTACTTATTACAAGTAAACAAATGGATACACGCTCATTTGTCGAAAACTTGTTCGGTGTGGGAGGAAACGAATTGCCTATGACACCACAAAATCAATTTGAGAATCAATTTGAAGGTCAAAATGACGTACCCCTACCTGAAAATATTCCAGATTTTGATCTTTATAATCATGTAAGCACCAATCCAAATTATCCAATTAATTTGGATGATATTGACGTTCCCGAAACGGAACACGATCAGGAAGAAGAGGCTGAATTAAACATTCTTGATGCGAGGGGAAAGCGAAAGGGGAAAAAAATCAAAATGTTGGGATCACTTTAAGTTGATTTCAACGGAAAAAATCGTCAATGGAGTCCAACAATCCAAAGCAGTATGTAAATACTGCCAACAAAGATTGGCATGACAAAGACGAATTGGTATCACCCATCTCAACCGTCATTACAAAGCATGTGCAGCCAAACACGGACTTATTCCAGGCTGTCAAACACAATTGCAATTTGGCAGTCCAGACACCAGTGGTTCTACTGTACCCCTATCCACATGGGTGTATTCGGAGGAGAAAACTCGAATCGGAATGGTGAAGCTTGTTGCCGGTGTTGAGTTGCCTTTGACATTAATTGACAACTAACACTACGTCTCGTATATGAAAGAAATCTGCAGCCAAGGTATGTTAGGGTAAGTTGAAACACTCTTCGTTTCGATACAATAGAATATTTTACTTCAACAAAACGACAATTAATTATGGATTTGTAAAATATGGGGGTGTCATATCTTTAACTTCAGATATATGAGAAGGGATTAATAAAAGAGCATATATAGCTGCAACTGCACATTATATAGACCCACTTTGATGCATGCATAAAAAAATTATTGCTCTTAGAAATGACCATGATTTTAGTGAAATTATGCCCCTGTTTGATTTTCATTATATTATATTACATTACATTCTACTTTTTCTCTCTCCTATTTTCAACCACACAATCTTCCATAAAATAATATTACACGTAAATCGAAAATTTTTCTTTCTTTTTCAACCACTCATTTTTCAAAAAACACTATTCTATACATTAAATTTTCCCCGTAATGGGGGCCAAACAGGGGCTATAATTGCTATGGAATTAAAATTTAGAAAATATTGGGAAAATTTGCCTATATTATTTCCTTTAGCATGCGTAATGGACCCCCGATATAATTTATCGGGAACTAAACATATAATTAATTAAATTTCAAACGTTTTAACATTAGATACACCTATCACATATAGAAATTTAGAGCAAACATTATGTGAAATGTATGAATTATATGCGAACCGAATGGGTACCAATATTAGTCGGGTACCATCTGCACCTACTCCTTCCACTGAAATTGAAGAAGAAAATGCGTAAATATTTAATTTATTTCAAGGCATTAATTCGTATAGATTTGATTCATTTGCAATGTGTTCATCTACTACCACTGCCACTGCCACTGCCATGTCATCACCATCTGTATCTCATTCTCATCATACATCTACTAGCTCAAGCCATAATGCATTGCCTGTTGAATTAATTGATTATTTCAACCAGAATATGCCAACAGATAAAATAATTAAAAAAAGTTCAGACGAAGTAATTGAATTCTGACGAAGGTATGAACGACGTTGGCCAGTTATATCTGTGATTGCAAAACATCTGCTGACACCTCCGGTTAACACTGTTGCTTCGGAGTCTGCTTTTAGTGTAGGTAAAAGAGTTTTGAGCGAGGTCAGGAGCCGACTGAAAGAATATATTTTAGATTTTTAATGTGCTTTAAGGATTGGCAGGACGCTCATTTTCGACTAAAAGATAAATCTGTCGAAATTGCATATCCTCAAATAAGTGATATTTGATTTAATTATATTAATGAAAGTTTTCTTTTCTTATCGTTACTTTTAATTTTTTTTAAAAATTGTACACACTATAAAAAATTGTTCGTGTACAATTTTTAACTCCTCCTACTGAAAATTTAAGTAGCCGATCCCAAACCCGGATAAAGGAAGAGGGTTTATATTTTATCTATTTTAAAAAGAAAAAAAAAAATAAAGCTTTCATTTTTATTTTTTCTATCTCTTTTAGTTAAAAAAAATTACTTTTTTATTTTTCAAATTACCTATTTGTTCTCCCCCGCCCCCCTAAAAAAAAAAA